GATGATTATAGAATATGGTGACATGAAGGTGGGTTTTTTTCTGTAGTATGTTCTTCATTTTTTTTTTTTACTATATCACTCTCCATGGAAGAATACTTTATCTTCAAGATAAAATGAATTGCAAGATATTTAGTAACACTAATGTCTAATATTAACCAGAATTACCATTACCAGGCATACAGATGTGAGTTTAAAAATGGAAATTTTAAAACTTCCATAATTTGCTGATGCCAAGTCACGTTAAGGAATATTATAAGCTTGATTAATATTTTCAAATGTATGATGGTTCAAACTGATTAGGATATGTACGTTTCCTATTTACCAAAAAACAAACTAATATATCCTTCTTGTTTGGTTAAAAGGATGTGAAGAGTTTGTTAATAAAAATTCACGTGTATGACAAACTAAACTCTATGGTATTGAGGAACGCCCTTATTCACCTCTCTGTCAGACACTATCTGTCAGGGCCATTTTCATCTTCTACCTGTGGGGGACCTGGCTGTGGGCCACTGTGAATGTTCTTCATTAGTGTTTTTTATGCAACAAAAAAAGGCTTATTTGAAAAAATTGAGAGTGAGGGTGCTGTAGGAAAATGATCTAACCTGACTTGCCTCTCATTTATGCAATATATAAATTAGTTGCTAAACCTTGATAGTTTAACTATTAGTTAAAATCAGTCTGGAGCATAGCTCACAAATATCAGCGACACAGAGGTTCAAAACTGCTGCCCCAGAGCAAGCTGCCGCTGTCGGTCTCCGCCCTCGTAGCTCAGCAGCCGCTGACACACATCAGCTCCACCCAGTGGACGCAGTCACACGTCAGGGAGTCTAGAGAGGGCGGGAAAGAGCGCGAGGAGATCTAAACCATAGAGGAAGTATATATAATTTTTCAAATAATGGCAAAATTAAAAAATGCTTAACTCAAAAGCACTGCTCTTAAATGATAAGAACCACGATGAAAAGGAAAAAATAGCTCTTTATGATCATGTTCCCCACAGGGAAAATCCCAACCCAGAGCCTGTTCTCCATAAATTCTTACAAGTTATTTCAGTACAAAATTCCACTAAAAGGTATTTTTGAAGGTAGCTTTGCTTGGATGGTTAGATTTATGTATGTTGCTTTGCTTAGTTGTACTTTGAATGACTTTATTTTTTAAAAAAATGCATGGTACATTTTTTTTTTTTTTTTTTGCTCTTCAGCATAAAATGGCCTGTGCTGTATATTTTCTTTTTATGAAAAAGGGGTCTGTAAAAATCTAAACAGATCAAGGGCAGATGAACCCACTTATTTCTTTCTAAAACCTCTACCACTTTTAAGAATATTATTCAGTTATTTGCACTGCATCTTCCTATCAGCTTGGTGTACAAATTCTGGTGCAGGGTTTGGAAGTCTGTAATAGGCATATACATTCTAGAGCATTCTAGAGTTGGGGCGTTTACGGTCCTTTTTTAAAAAAATAAGATCCTGCTGTGTAGTTGATGCTGGCCTTGAACTCACTATGTAGGGCAGGCTGGCCTCAAACTCACTGCAATCCTCCTGCCTCAGCCTCCCGAGTGCTGGGGCTGCAGGCCTGTGCCGCCACACCGGGCTGGTCCCAGTTTTAAGGAGCTAGGTGCTATGAGGAGATTGCGGCACAGGTGTTCATAGCTCTATAAACCTTGCAGAAGTATGGCTGTGGAAGGGCTGGGGAGGGGTAGAACGTAACCCTGGAAGCAGAGGACGCTCTCCTCTCCCATGCGCTGGGCAGTCTGGGGATGACGGTGAGGAGCGGGAGGGAAAGATGGGTGAGGAAAAAAGAGTGGTTTTGAAAGTTTGTGTCAACGCACCTAGCAGGATGTTTAATCTCAGTAAAATCCAAGTAAGGGGGCTGGGGATTTAGCTCAGCGGCACAG